TTATTTAGTAACTAGTAGCATCCTTTGTTCCTACTTCTTTTGTTCATTTAAGTTCTAGGTTCTCTGTTGACATTGGCTTGTCAAACTTGCACTCTGACCAGTCTTGTTTTGACTTCTTCAGAAATTCGGGCCCATTCCACAATAAATCGGTGTTTGCTAACTCTTCTATTGTCAGGCCTCTTGTTCCAACATCGGCGGGGTTTACATTCGTAGGAACATAGCGCCACTGATTAGGAGCAGAGAACTTATGAATTTCTCCAAATTAAGTCTTCCAATTCTTGAAACCACTTTGTCCGTTCTCTAATTCGGCAACAGCTCATCCCAATCCTGTGCCTCCATCCAGCCATGCCTTTTGTATCAACAACTTGGACCTGATTATGTAAGGTGATAATGCCTAATGGGTCGCAAACTGTTGCTCTTCGCCTCAAAACATTCCTCTTAGTGAATTCAAATCCATCTAACTGTAACAAGTGTCTAGTATTAAAAGGAAGATCCATTGTCTGTGGCAGCCCACAGGACACCCAGAGTCTTTGTTGTTGGCAGTAGTTTATCTCAGAAGCCCTATCTTTGTCCACAACGTCAGCAGTTACATCCAGTTCATTCGAGATCCATTTGCGGATGTGAAAACCATTTAAGTCCCCTAGTTTGGTAAGCTGCTTTGTTGTTTCCGTTGCATCATCCACCGTAGGTGCGGATGGCATCATATCATCCATGGATGTAACAGTCTTTTAGAACTGCATTAGCTAACCAATGGGTAAGTCTCCTTGTAAAGTCTGGCATGATGTTACCAAGCAAACTGAACACAAAATGGGCAGTAACGCCGTCCAAAAATAAACCTCTTAAACTCGTAAACCTCGTAACCCGTACCTCGTAACAAATTGGTATCACTGAAGCGGACCACCACGGAGAGGGGGCATAAGGTTTCTTTTAAGTAGAGATTTTGTTCGCCGTGGCAGTTGTCACGACACCGAACTTGAAGTAGTTACAATCCATTTCCAACCTGGTCACCAAAAGCCAAAAGACATATAAAGACTTGTGAAATGATAGTTATTTTAAATTTTTCTGGACAATTACTTTTGGTTTTAATTAAACTGAGTCGAGTGTGTTTTCGACCTCATTCCCAGGGTCCTCTCCTACCCAGCCCATCTCTCGCTCCGGGGGCCGAGTAGGAGAAAGAGGATGATGTAAACACACTATGCGACAAGTTGGCGATAGATCACTCAGTGTGTACAGGTCGGGAGACTAGTTGCACCCATATGTCGCTGCGACAAATCGCTTCGTGTGTGCTGGAGACCTTTTGTGAAAATCTTTGTCTCTGCGACGAAATTTTGTCGCTGCAACAAGTCGCAAAAAAAAAATTGTGCGACTTGTTGCCTCATCGCATGTAAGAAACGTTACAGCTACGAGGAGCGATGAGAGTCGGCTATTTTGGCAGGTTACTATGTTTCTTCACCAATGCGTTTTTCACTATTTTCACATAGACCATAATGCACCTTGTTCCCCCGCACCCCTCCCCCACACCCCGGGCCCCCCACTAAAAATAAATAAATAAATAATAATAATTCATAACCATTACTCCAGTTTCTCCTGGGTATTACAGAGCCCCCAAGAGAAATCGAAGGCAATAGTTCTGCAAAATTTTGTTGGCAAACATGGGGGATCCGACAACTGACTGGTCAAATCGTGGTTTTTTCCGGTTCACTTTTTAAAAAACCTGAATATTAAGCATCTTTTCCATCCAATAGACCTTGTCACGGTTTTCGACGCCATCTTGACGAGTAGGCAAACGCGTGAGAAATTACAGTGTTTGTATGAGAATCTAATTTCGACTAATTTCTGTAGAACAGCTGTTCGGAAAAAAATATGATTTGTAAACTAAAGCTTCACTCCTAAGGATTCTACTTAAAAAATTTGAGGGCGTTACATGTACTAGAAAACCTAGAACCACTTTTTAAATTTCCTATACATTTGTCTGTTGGAAAGTCCCGGAAAATTACAGCAAATATATGGAAAGTCTAAAGCAAGCCTCTGGAGAAATTTAAGCACAGGTACGTCTCCGAACTTTTTTAGGACAATCCTTTGCTTTGTAGCTTTAGTTTACAATTGATATTTTTTTCAGAACAGCCGTTTTAAGGAAATTAATCGACATCAGATTCTCATACAAACACTGTAATTTCTCACACGTTTGCCTACTCGTCAAGATGGCGTCGAAAACCGTGACAAGGTCTATTACCATTGAAATCCTGCCTTTAATTAGTGTCATTTGTTTTTCAGTAGTTCACAAACAACATTTACGAGTTTACAGCAGTTTTAAATCCTATTAAAATTAGCCTCCCCGCAGACGTCCTTTGGGGTTCGTTTGTCACACATAGAAATGAATGCGTGACAAACGAACCCCAAAGGACGTCTGCGGGGAGGCTATATTAAAATACGATTTAAAAAGCTTTGCGTGACATGTCTCGCGTGACTTATTTCAACGAGTCGTCAAGTGCCGCACCTAATATTCGTTTCCTTGTTGCTCCGTCTTAGTTGTCTGAGTTGGGATTTTGGTCGGGAAGGGCAACACTTCCCTTTACCACTTAATCTCAGTGTTGTGTGCTTTCAGTTGACAAATTATGTTACACACGGATCCAGGTTAGTGTTAAAGATCTTGATCCTTCAACAATTGTTCAAAGTCTAAACGAATGTAAAAAAGAAATTGAGCGGTATAGACATGAATCTTGAATGTCGTCTGGTTATGGCTTCACGGTTTATTCGTGTCTGACACTGAATTTCCGATCTACACTTGCAGTTTTCAAGCTGCTTTTTATGCTCTTATTTTACCACTCTTTTACCTGTGTTTGTTTATTGTTTCGGGTATTTCGTGTTACAAATCATGTCACAAGTCGAGCCTGGAGGCATTGAAGGTATTTGTTGTAGAACTGTCGTAGACCGGCCATATTGGAATTGGAGCGTGTTAGCTCAAGATTACCTTGTTGTGATTTACTACTCCGTATACGCGTTTGTGAGTCGCTGGTAAACTCTGTCCTTGACGTCAGTTGAACAATCATTTGGATTCTAATCCAAAAATGTTAAATACTGGTAGATTTAGTGGTGCATCTACGTTTGCAAAGGATTCCGAAAGGGGGCACCCAACGACAGTTGGCAGTTCTGAAGGTTAATTGTTCGCACCTCACTCCCCAGGTTATGCTATTTTTCGCAGAGAAAGGAAACCTAAGATTTTCGGATACGCAAATGCGATGGAAAGAGGAATCGAAAAATTGCCACTGTTGTAAAACTTTAACTTGCATCTAAAATTTTCGGGAAAATGATACCGAAGCCCTGGGTAATTTCGAAAACAGTCCAGTTGCCTTAGGATAACCGAACATAGATAAATTTTACTAGCGGTGATTAGAGTGTATTTCTAAAGATCCAAAAGTACTCTGGATAGCCTAAAAAGCGTTTTCAATGCATTTGGGAGGTAAGCGTCGTTTGGTGCCTCTGTCCGATATGTGAGTGTTATAGTTAAAACTTCATGTTTCTAGGTGCTTTCCCCGTTCAAAAAAATGTCACGTTGGTGGCCATACTGAATTCAGATCTACGTTTACACTAAGCCATGCGAAGACTTGCATGAGATAGTCACAAAAGCAATGAAATACTCTGAAAAACAATGAAAGTCAAATGTAATTTCCTCAAATGACTGGGGCCTTCCTCTGACTGGAGTCGAGCTTTGCAGTCCAAAAAATCGAAGCTCAAAACTATCTGGGCTGAATATTTTTCTATTTAGTTAGTTTTTTCCTTAACTTCTCAGTTAACAACAGACAACAGTAGACTGTATTTAAAAAAAGTTGTGATGATCTACTTGTGTAAAATTTATTATCGATTGCGTGATCTAAAATCCTGACGTGACTAATTCTCCTAACGATGATCTTATCCGCCCTTTTCGAAAACCCTGACTACTTCCTCTTTCGCTTTCAATTTCCTCCTGTCGTTTGCTTTTTCTGAGCCCATCGTCTTTCTTTCTGTTAAATGATTTGCGCGTGTATATACAGGTTAGTCTTTCAGTGTCTGCTTTGAAGTTGCTGATTTGCAAAGATTAAGCGACTGTTGTAGAGGCTTCGACATGAATGCTGTCTTAGAGGCTCGGTCAATTTATTGTTAAACTTATATCTCATAATTGTAATCGTTCTTATCAATGAGTTCGTGTCCTAGTTATTGTAAGCGCGCAGCTACAGCACTATCACTGTTTTTCTCCTTTACTGTGACTTTGCGTGCTTGAGTCAACAAACTGTTCAACCCTTGTTTGTACATTCAAGCTTAGCGTATTGCTTTGCTTATCTAGATGTAATTATTAGGTAACAACGGACATTTCTAAAGTGGCATGAGTTACCCGTACCGCGTCTAGTTGTTATTTTGTGCACTTTCTACGCCCCATTGTACAGAGCTCCATTAACTGTCCGATCATTTTTTTTATTAGAATTATTAAATTGGGTAAATCTTGCTAAAATGTCTATTTGAGCCTTAAAGTGATTTATCCAAACAACGTGCCGCGTTTAAAAGGCAGGTAAAATTTAAAATCTTGTTTTATCAGCACCGTGGATATACTTAACACTAGCTGCGACGGTATTGTCTGATTGCCAAATAAAGTCTTACCTTTTTTGAGACTAATAGTTATTAACTCAATCCGAATTCTTGCCAACCCTGCGCACGCCCTCCGCCACTGTCTTCGAAATTTCTTAACAACCTCGCGTGTGAATTCGCTGTTCATTCCCCATGCAGGAATGCAGAGGTCAATCTGATAACTACAACTACCAACAGATTCAAGTCATTCAAACAAACGGAATCAATATCAGCATGTTCAGCGGATAAACCTTTTGGAATAACTCAGCCTGTTGAACCAGAAACGTTTTTAACAAACCAAAAGCTTTTGCATTACCTGAGGGTACCCCTTGCATTCTCAGATAATCATAAGTGACTCTCTGTGTTTACTTTTTATTAAAGATATATGACAACTTTGATGTATGGCATCTTCTTTACGGGAACCTCAGTCACGGGATTGCAGAGTAGATGATTCCCGCAAAGTGCAAGTCACTATTTTGGCTTCTGAATGGGGATCAAGCAAAGGGGGACTTTCCACCATAAACAGAGAGTTAGCCATTCAGTTGGCCAAATACCCTGAAGTGGAAATCACTGTCTTTTTACCGCAATGCAGTAAAGAGGACAAGAAGTTAGCCCTGAGGTATAACGTAAAGATCGTTGAAGCAACCCCCCTGTCTGGCTTTGAGCAACTGGACTGGCTTTGCTTTCCGCCTGAAGATTTGCAAATCGACATTATCGTAGGTCATGGAGTTAAACTCGGTAAACAGGCACAAATCATTAAAAGATCTAAAAGGTGCAAATGGGTTCAAGTGGTGCACACAGATCCAGAGGAACTTGGAATGTTCAAAAACTATTCAGATCCAATTTCAAAAGGCGAGGAAAAGCACAAGATCGAAGTAGAACTGTGTGAAATGGCAGATCATGTTGTTGGGGTTGGTCCCAAGTTGAGCGAGGCCTTTCGCTCCTATCCTCGCAGCTGCCAAAAAGATGATAATGTCCTTGACTTAACTCCAGGAGTATTTGTAGAATTTGAGGCTGTGAAGCAGGCTCTGAACGAAAGGCAACAACACAGTGTCTTGGTGTTTGGTCGTGGAGACGTAGAGGATTTCGAATTGAAAGGATTTGACATCGCTGGGAAAGCAGTTGCTGAGTTAGAAGATACTCGTCTTGTCTTTGTTGGGGCTCCAGATGGAAAACACGAAGAAATAGCAAAACGGTTGACCGAATGTGGTGTCCCTCCAAGTCGCTTGAGAGTAAGAGGATTTGTTCAAGATCGAGAGAGTCTAAGGCGCTTGTTTCAAGAAGTGGATCTTGTTGTCATGCCTTCAAGAACAGAGGGCTTTGGATTGACAGGGCTAGAGGCCTTGTCAGCTGGTCTCCCTTTGCTTGTCAGCCGCAACTCCGGTTTTGGAGAAGCTTTACGTGGTGTACCTTTTGGATCATCATATGTAGTGAACTCAGAGGAACCGGCAGATTGGACCTCTGCTATCAAAACAATCTGGGTCAAGGACAGGAGAAGTCGGCTTGAGGAAGCGGAAACTTTGCGCGAATCCTATGGCAAGAAATACAACTGGGCCAAACAGATAAAAGATTTCATTGACAAGATGATCTGTTGGGTTTACGGTATGAACGTCAATTTTCTTTTTTATGAAAAAAAAAAACACTTTTCATACATTGCACGTGGAATAATAGAACGTGGACTCTAAGAAGAAATTAAAATAAAGAAACAAAACCAACTTTGAGAAATATCCGCTTCATTTTTTCTCCCGGCTGAGATCTTGGAAAAAGGCGATTACAAAGTTTTACGTTACATGTAGGCAAACGCAGTAAAGTAATATTGACCCAATCCGTCTATCATATGCTTTGTCCCTAGTTCACTGGCTTATGTGATTATTCCATGCATCCGCATTTACCAAAACAGCCTGTTGTTATCTACTCTTTTTTATCAACAGATGATACTCTAAATTACCAGAGGTCTTCAGAAACAAAGCGCAGAATTTTTTCATCCACCGATAAATCTTCTCAGCGAATGGAGGAGACAACTGTAGACCCTGAAGGTATCCCCGATGACTTGATAATAATCAGCGTAATACTAGTCTTGAATGGTGTTGCTGGTCGAAAGTGTTCTTTGTTTATTAAAATGGTTAGCATTATTTGAATCGGTTTTTTTTTCTAAGTCCATGCCTTACGCATGCGTGGATGAACGATAACTAAGTTCACTTGCATGACTTATACATACCGCTCAGGCAGAACGGTTGGCTTTGGTCTGTCTCGAACTGGTCTAGGATTTCGCTCTTTCTCCGTGTATTAAGTTCAAGAACATTTAAACTTCTAGAGAGGGAAAAGAAAAAAAGAATATGCTGCTTGTGAGAACACGTGCTATTTGCGTACTTTTCACTGTACAAATTATTGGATCACATTATGCCTAGAAAGCTACCAAAAGTGTCTTTCAGGGGCACCCAACGACGGTTTCCTCCTACAAACATTGAAAACACTTTTAAGGCTATCCTTAGCCCTTTTAGATATCTAGGAATGTATTCTAAGCGGGGCTTTAAAATTTGTGCCTGCCCGATAATCCTAGGGGAACTTGAGCCCATTCGAAAGTAAAAGGGCTTAAGTATTATTTTCCCGAAAATTTTACGTGCAGTTTGAGGTATTACGAAAGTGAGAATTTTTCTGATTCCTCTCTCCTTCACATTTTTGAATCCGGGAGTAAAATGCGAAAAATTAAACTTCAGAAAATCGTAGGGAAATTATTGGATGCACTTCGAAAAATGTACAACAGTCGTTGGGTGCCCCTGGTTTGCCAAAATATCTGTTTGGAGAAGGAAATATTTCTTACAAATTTTAGGATCGTGTTTTTACCCCATACAAACACTAATTTTACTGGAACCGTCCTGTGGTACTATCCCAAAGCCTGGGTTACCTGTCAGGTCACCGTATTAGACGCTTCCGTAGTTCTTTCTTATAGTCTCTTATAGGCGAGTTAGAACGGGGCGTGCGACGAAGACCAGCCACTACTTTCAAACGCCTGCTACGCTGGTTAGCTACAAGTTATGTAATTGACTATTGTACAGTATTTTGGAATAGTAGTGTTTTATTTTTGAAACTGTTTATATTAGCTAATCAGTGTGAAGAATTAGGACTGTATATAATGGTGACTCTTGTTGTTGGTTGTAGGCTCCTCTTCAGTTTTAAAGTCCACTCAAGGGAAAACCAATTATTCTCGTCTATGTCGCCTGCTGATCAGCATAGGCTCGCGAGTGCTTGGAGATACATTCGATAGCATTATTCCACCGGAGAATCTTCGAGAATTGTTGAAAAGTGACCCGGTGCACTCCAGACTACAGTTACTGCGAAAGAAAGGAGTCCTTTCTTCAGTTCATTGGAGGAAATTGTACCCCGCCACACCCACTGAAGTGTCATCTGCAAGCTTTGATATCCCCCTCTTGATTGTGCTTCTAAGGACAATCTGTAATCTGAGTCCTCCACCCGCTGGCTGGGACACACCTCCTCTTACATCAGACACCAGTCGCGAGTCTGACATTGCGCGCATTAAGTACTTTATGAACGCCGTATCCAAACATGCCACGGAGGGCTCTGTGAGTGATGCTGTATTCAGTAGCTACTGGCAGCATATCCGTGACACACTAGTACGATTGGGTGGAGCTGATTATGAAGATCTCATTGATGAATTTAAAGACCAGGAAATTGAATTCCTCGATGAGGAACATTTCAGAGAACTTCTCAAGCAGTGGAAGAAGGTAGAAGACGACATCAGAGACAGGCTGAATGAAGTGGAAAGTGAAGAAGCTTCTAAAGAGAAAGGTATGCTATGCAGTAGGCCTTGTTAGGAGATACAACCCTGCCAATTGGTAGGTTTTAAACTCTTAACACTGCGAATTTAGGGTGGTTTGGTTAACAGGGAATATACTTTATGTATCTATGGAAAAGTCGCCGGATCCAGCAATTGCTTCCATACAAGACCTTATTTATAATTCGTTAGACGTTCCAGCACCTTTAAAATGTTAGTTTTATGTGTCAGTAACTTCAAAATTACCTATCGAGGGAATACTCTCGTACACCTTCCATCTCTTGGAATTGTTTAAGTTGCTTCCCATTAAGCAGGTCACGGATAAGCAGGGCAGAACAGTGTAGGATCAGTTGATCCTGAAAAATTTGGAATTTCAAGCTGCGTTAAGGGTCATACCAATTATTAACATAAAGATTCTTTCGGCTAATTTTACCGTTATTTTCTTGGAGATTTCAAGTGATCTTGTGGTAATTAAGCCACTAAGTGAATTTAAGTGTATCACGTTATTAAGCTTTGTGTAATGTTTTGTGGGGCCTCCATTGTGCCGTATTTCAAGGTCTCCTCATTTAATTCTTGACTTGTTCATGCAGATCCCCGAGCGGCGAGTGGTGCTAGTGGTCGCATTGGACCTGGTGTTGATGGGCCTTCGGATCTAACCAAGCAGACTTTTCATGACCAAGGTATACAACTACTAAGCCTGTTAATGTAGCAACTACCTACTCCCAGTGTTAACAAGGTGATAGCGTCGAATCGAAAAATATAATTACAGTCATGTGCATGTCCGTATTATTAGAGAGAGGTCTGTTTACAGGGAGTCAACTAAAAGGAGTAATCAAGGTAGGGACGAACTCTTGGTGTCACTTTTAGCCAGGTGCTCGTGTTATAGAAGTGTCCATAAGAGAGAGTTGACTCTACTCAGGAGCGTTTTTTTTTCATTTGAGTATAAAGAATGTGGTTATAATATGTAGTCGTGCATTGTATGGTCTTAAGGCGGGATTCCACTTCAAGCTGTAATTCTTTGATTCATTGCCTTTAGCTATTCAGCAACAAACTGTTATCTAAATTGCTCTAGTTCTGTCAAAATCACCCAGAGTTTTTTCAAAGAACGTTAAAAGGAGTATAACCATCTGACATACCCTTCATACTATTAGTTTCCATTCTTATTCTCATCCATTTCATTAAACAGATTACTCAAACGCCCAGAGCTCCTTAGAAGCAAACAACAGGACTTGTCATCAGACAGAAGGCCTGACTGAGCACCATGGGGGTATTCAGCTTTAGAGACTTTAATAGATTGTAATAAATGTATTTGTAAATTTACGGGAAAAAATTGTTTTACAGTTCATATCACTGTCTAATATAGTTTGAATATGGAAATACTTCAAAGGTTATTTCTTGAGGGCATAATTAAGTGTACCATAGAACGTTGAAAACAAATTTTAATCCAATGTAGAGGGAACTTGTTTTTGCTTTTCCTAAATGGAGGTGAATTCACCCCACCACCCACTCGTCCGTAAGTTTATACAAGTAAAACTGCGAAGTTTGTTTACCGCATACATCGGTAGGCCAAACTTTTCAACGAGAAGTAGGCAGTGAAGAATTTCGCTCCTCGCGTTTTTCACCACGCCAATTTTACCCCTTCTTCCCTCTGACTTTTGAACGCTTGCCGTGCAGGCAACAGTTTCGGAGCACGTGAGAAATTTTTTTAAGCAAAAGTTGACTTCCTTTACTAACATATTGAATAACTAATGAATATAATTTAAAACAAACCAAATTAAATGCGGCCTTTATTTTTTCCTAGGTCTAGGTTTGTCATTCCCAACTGATCTCATAGAAAAGATCCGTCAGCTCTACAAAACACGTGAACGACGCCTTCTGCCCGTCCCTTGGTTGGACGAGTTTAGCTTTCATATCAATGATATTTTTACCAGATTAAAAATCTTGGGCAAAGAAAAAACGCAAGGAGTACTTACTGACGATATAACCAATATGACTGCCATCTTTAATGCCCACGCAGAATGCCAAAGGCCGCGAACAGTCTTGATCGAAGGAGACCCGGGTATGGGAAAAACCACTTATTGTCAAAAGCTGGCGTACGATTGGGCAACTAAGCAAGACAAATGGGACCCGTCTTTTCCAGAGATTGAAGTGTTACTGCTTCTCAAATGTCACGAAATTAAATCTGACATCTGGGAAGCTATTGATGATCAAATTCTCCCCGAGGAAATGGACACTCAAGCTAAGGAATGCTTCTTTAGATTCATTCGTGAAAATCAGTCCAAGGTTCTATTAGTTCTCGATGGACTAGACGAAGCGGATACTAGTAACCTCAAAATGTTCCTTAACCTCATTGAAAGGAAAGAACTCTCAGGTTGTTACATTGTTCTCACCTCTCGTCATGAGGCTGGAAGGAATGCAAGGCGATACTGTGACACTCTGTGGGAGATTGTAGGATTTACCCAGGAAGATGCAGAAAGCTTTATTCATAAATACTTTAAAAACGTTAGAAAGGAGCATTTGGCCATGAAGCTTATAGAAATGGTATGGCCAGACGTCCGGTTGTTGGAGTCAGGACAAGCTGAAGATCTGCGCGATTTGACAAAAAATCCTTTAAACACTTCTTTACTTTGTGTTATCTGGGAGGATTTAAAGGGCGTGCTTCTAACGAGCAGAACTGAATTGTACATTGACATTGTTCTTTTTGTTTTGGAAAGATATGAACAAAAGCAAGGACTATCGAGCGAGAATGAAGACCTCTGGTCCGTCTACAATAAAGACTTGAAATATCTCGGAAGAATGGCGTTGGAGTCTCTTCAAAACGGAGAATTGTATTTTGAAGAACATAAATCAGGTGGTCGCTGCATCGTCTTATCCAAGATCGGATTCCTTTCACTTCAGCCTGCTGTCAGTAAGAGGAGAGTTCGTACGCGTTACGCGTTTCTTCATAAAAGCTTTCAAGAATTCTTTTCTGGTTTCTTTCTTGCTTGCCAACTTATTGAAGGCGAAATTAGCTGCGAGTCAGTAGTGAAAGACCAAAGATATGTGCGTAAACTATATCAAGTATTTGCATTCTTGATTGGGATACTAGTGTCCAAAAGTAAGAAAACGGCAGAATCTCTCGTTAAAAGCATGGCTGCAAATATCAATTTCACAAGTCTAAAGTTAGTCAAATTCGAAGCTACAGACTTTTCAAGACGTGTATTATTTGCTGTACGTAGCTTATCGGAGCACGCAAGTTCACTTGAAACCTTAGGGGAGCACCTTAACCTTGCTCAATTAAATTTGAAGAACAGTCCGATTGGCGAATCTGGTGCTGCATCTCTTTCCCGGGCTCTTGCAGTCAACTCCTCCTTAACTGAGCTGGATTTGAGTGAGAACAGCATTGGTGAGTCTGGTGCTGCATCTCTTTCCCAGGGTCTTGCAGTCAACTCCTCCTTAACTGAGCTGGATTTGAGTGAGAACAGCATTTGTGAGTCTGGTGCTGCATCTCTTTCCCGGGCTCTTGCAGTCAACTCCTCCTTAACTAAGCTGAATTTGAGAGGGAACAGCATTGGTGAGTTTGGTGCTGCATCTCTTTCTCAGGCTCTTGCAGTCAACTCCTGCTTAACTGAGCTGGATTTGAGATACAACAGCATTGGTGTTTCTGGTGCTGCATCTCTTTCCCAGGGTCTTGCAGTCAACTCCTCCTTAACTAAGCTGAATTTGAGAAGAAACAGCATTGATGATTCTGGTGCTGCATCTCTTTCTCAAGCTCTTGCAGTCAACTCCTCCTTAACTGAGCTGGATTTGAGATACAACAGCATTGGTGAGTCTGGTGCTGCATCTCTCTCCCAGGCTCTTGTAGTCAAGTCCTCCTTAACTGAGCTGAATTTGAGAGGGAACAGCATTGGTGATGCTGGTGCTGCATCTCTCTTCCAGGTTCTTGCAGTCAACTCCTCCTTAACTGAGCTGAATTTGAGAGGGAACAGCATTGGTGATGCTGGTGCTGCATCTCTTTCTCGGGCTCTTGCAGTCAACTCATCCTTAACCGAGCTGGATTTAAGATACAACAGCATTGGTGTTTCTGGTGCTGCATCTCTTTTCCAGGGTCTTGCAGTGAACTCCTCCTTAACTAAGCTGAATTTGAGAGGGAACAGCATTGGTGATTCTGGTGCTGCATCTCTTTCTCAGGCTCTTGCACTCAACTCCTCCTTAACTGAGCTGGATTTGAGGTACAACAGCATTGGTGGGTCTGGTGCTCCATCTCTTTCCCAGGGTCTTGCAGTCAACTCCTCCTTAACTGAGCTGAATTTGACAGGGAACAGCATTGATTGTGCTGGTGTTGCATCTCTCTCCCAGGCTCTTGCAGTCAACTTCTCCTAAGCTGAGATGGATTTTAGTGAGAACGGTATCGGTGATTCTTTCCCAGGCTCTTGCAGTCAATTGCACCTTAACCTAACTGGATTTGATTTTTAACAATATTGCTGATTCTGGTGCCGCTAAACTGTCCAGTGTGTGCAAGGTAAATACAACTGCTAATTAAGCAATAGAAAACGCTTTCCGTGTTTGCATAGCCTGATATGAACACGAGAGGAGTTGGGAGAATTCGAGACAGTTATGCAATCCGGAGACGAAGTCGAGGGTTTGCATAACCGTCGAGAATTCTCCCAACGCCTAGAGTGTTTATATCAGGCTATGCAAACACAGGAAAAAAGTTTTCTATTGCTTTTATACAATAACTTTCCCGAGAAAAAAACGCAAAACTCTTTGTATGGCACTGATTAAAAGAGAAAGTCTTACCAGTCGCAAAGTCTTGTCCACGAAGTCTTGAACGCGTAATCAGTTCTTGTTTTGCAAAAAGATGCTTTGCAAAATACGGATTTTTCTCGCTTAAAATGTCAACTTAAGCGAAGAAAAATTGACTCACCTTCTTTGTAACGATTTTCCATGTTTTAGCCGACGATGGAATGGGTAAATAAAGTAAACTTGTCGAGTTTTGAACTCGAAAACTTTTTCAAATTCGTGCTTGCGTGATTAGCGCGCGAAAAGCCAAACAACTTGACGCCACAACCATGTTTACATACTCTCATGCAAACACTCCTCTCGGCCAATCAGAGCGCGCGTACT